ATAGATTTTATTTCTTTCAACCATCTTTATTTTAAAGATTCGAATTTATGCCACATTTCCTACATGCAAAGCCCTGCACGAGTTCCTTTATGAAAAAGCTTTCACTCCAGTGGGAGGCTCGTGCAGGGATCTGGACGTGGTCGTAAGAATGTCTTCTTCTCTCCGTAGGTGTTGAGATTTGCTTTGAACTTTACAACCCTAGAATCCAGGAGATCCAGGTGGTCAAGTTAGAGAAGCGGCTGGATGACAGCTTGCTGTACTTACGAGATGCCCTTCCTGAGTACAGCACTTTCGATGTTGATATGAAGCCAGTTCTACAAGACCCGGGCCAAGAAGTTCCTATTAATCAGGTATGAGTTATACATTTGGAACTAGAGGTTCAAATATAATATGAGCTATCTTAATGAAAACTTTTCAAAGAATTTTACTATCAGCCTAATTTATTCCTTTTTTTTTTTTTTTTTTTTTTAAATATATCCTCCTCAGCTGAAAGTAAAAATGAAGCCTAAGCCCTGGTCCAAACGCTGGGAGCGTCCAAAGTTTAATATTAAAGGAATCAGATTTGAACTTTACTTAACTGAAGAGAAAATGAAAGAAGCTCAGAAGTGGAGTCGGCCGTGGCTTGAGTTTGATATGTTGAGGGAATATGATACTTCAAAAATTGAAGCTGCAATATGGGAAGAAATTGAAGCATCAAAAAAGTCGTGACCTAAACATGTATTTAGCTCCTTGCAGAAGATATAGTGACTCTCAGAGTATATTTTTAGAGACTAGTTTAATTTCATATATAAGAAAATGATCATTAAATCAACTAAGTATTCAATATGAGTACTGTTGTAAAAAAAAATAAAATTACAACATCAGTTTATTACTTTAAAAAGAGAAATGTATATGCCAAGTGGTCTGGTGTCTATTCTGTTACTGGAGGCAGAGCTACAATACAGTCAAACTATTACAGAATCCCCTAATATAAGCCTGAAATCTGAACGAGGAGGTAGGAACATAGCTCTGACAACGGGATCTGCCCCGTCAGGCACAGCCCATCCTACACCTCCAGCCAGGAGTGCCAGGTAACACAGGTAGAATATGGTGTCTCCATTGTACGGAGTCACCAGAGTCCCCCATTTCCCCTCACCTAGTACACAACCCTTCTTCCGGTGAAGTGAGATGGAGCAGGAGCAAAGGCCAGTGGCTGGGCAAGACAGGGGGCACTGTCTGCAGCACTGTGGCAGGACAGTCACCTGGGGAGGCACCGGGGGCAGAGAACGGTGGGAGAGAAGGTATCTGACCCCAACTCTCCTTGGGTCTCCCAAGCCTCTGTCTTCCCTACTCACAAGTCCCCCTGAACCGGTGCCCACACCCAGCCAGACCATAGCTGTAGGGACTAGGGCCTCACAGTCATTGCCAGGTCTCCCTGCCTGTTACCCTTGGAGAAGACCTAAATCTGTTTTTAAAACCTAAATCAGTCCTTGTCTCTTCCCTGCTGAAAATGCTTCCAGAGCTTTCCCTCTCCCTGTGGGGTGAAGTCTACTGAAAGCAGACCCCAGAGGTCTGAATGAGCTGGCAGCTGAGGAATTGGAATGAAAGGGTTAGACTTAGAGCTTAAGTGAGGAAAATTCAGAGAAAGAACCACTGAATCAAGATCCTGGCTAAAAAAGTGGAACTTGAATCAAGGAAAGTTTCAGGGAAGTGCCAGCCTAGGGACACCTAAGGGCCTTCAGCACCAAGCACCTTCTCCTTTCCTTGCTTTTAAAACCAACGAGGTGATGGGTGACAAAAAGAGCGTTAGGAAACGGGTGATGTCCTACAGAGCAAGAAACAAATTTTACTTTTCCTACCAGACTGTTGTGCTGTCATATAATTGAGGGAAATCCATTTTAGCAAGGTAGTAAGTCAGAATGTGTCCAGCCACTCCCTACCCAAAGGCCTCACTATGAACGCCAAGGATCTCAGAAGGAAGAGAGGCCACTGACATGGGGAAGAGCACAGGTGAGTGGTAGGTAGCTTCCATTTTTTTTTTTTTTTCTTGGGCTCTTGGCTTAGGCTCAGGACTGGACTTGTGGTGAGGGAAGAATCCCAGTTTACTTCCCCTTTATTGAAACTAGGCAACCATAGCACCTACTTGACAAATATTTTCACTTGGATGAAACTGCACTTTGGAATTCAATCATAAGAAAAACCTTGGAAAAAGATACAGTGAATCTAGTTTTCTACTTGTCATTATGAAGCATGGAGTGTAAGAATTAATTTGTCTTCAGGTGATAGTAAAGAGAGTATAAAGACAGTCAAGAGGAACTTTCTAGCTTTTTATCTTAGTGCACATGAAAAATGATTTTTAGAGCATTTCTAGCAGTAAAGAATTTAAGGAAATGAGAATCATGTTTTAAAATAGGAGCCTTGCATTTATTTTAAAAGATGAAAAATGTAAAAACATAGGGCTTGCTTTTAAATGACTACATAATAGTCTACCGTGTGCGCGTTGTGTGTCATAACTTCCTTATTTATCTGTTGATGGACACTTAGGTTGTTTCCATGTCTTGGGGGGTTGTAAATAATGCTGCTATAATCCTGGGACAGTGTTTTGTTTCCTCAGATATATACCCTGAGTGGAAATGCTAGATCATATGTTGGTTCTATTTTCAACTTTCTGAGGCATCTCCATACTGTTTTTCCATAGTGGCTATAACAATTTGCAGTCCCACCAACAGTACAAAAGGGTTCCCTTTTCTCTACATCTTTGCTTGCATTTATTATGTCCTTTGGAGGATGGCATAAGGTGATATTGTGGTTTTTATTTGTATTTTCCGGATGATTGGTGATGTCCAGCACATTTTCATGAACCTGTTGTCCATTCCTATGTCTTACTTGGAATCTATTCATGTCCTTTGCCCTTTTTAAATTGGATTGTTATTTTGCTGTTGAGTTATAGGAGTTTTTTCTATATTTTGTGACCTAAAATATGGTCTACCTTGGAGAATGATCCTGTGTATTCTGCTGTTGGTGGACGGAATGTTTTGTATATGTCTATTAGCTCCATATGGTCTCTCATCAAACCCATTCTCATCATTCTGTCTGAATGACTCATCTGTTGTTGAGAGTTGGGTACTAAATTCTCAACTTTTACTATATTGCTGTTTATTTCTCCTTTTAGCTGTTTTAAATGTAGTTAGTTAATAGTGCATAACTATTTACAATTCTATCTTCTTGATGGATGGACCCCTTTATCATTACAGAATGACTTTTGTCTCTTTTATAATTTTTAAAGTTCATTTAGTTTGATATAAGTATAGCTACTCCTGCTTTTTTGTGTGACCATATGCGACTGGGGATTGAACCTGCAACCTAGGTATGTGCCTATACCAGAACTGAACGCACCACCTTTTGTTGTGCAGGACGATGCTCCAACCAACTGAGCCACTCAGCCAGGGACTGTATGTCTTTAAATTTTATTTTTATAAAAATGTATTTCCATTTTATGAAAAGCAAGAGAATTTTCTCTGCCCAAGCTAAAAATGTAAGAACACATCCAACACAGCTTTAATAAAAATGCAAAGTCAGAGGAAAGTTCCCAAATGTGTATTACTTAAAGAGTAAAAAAAAATTACAAATTTCATATGCAATAAAGCAATAAATACTGTCATTTATGTAAACAACAAAGACAGACAGACACACACACACACACACACACACACTCTTGGAGAGAGAGAAAAGGTATGAAAGTAACACTGAGTAACACTGAAATGAAAATAGCAATTACCTCTGGGAACAATAATTGTGTGGGAATGCTAAATGCTTTCTAGCAATGGTTTGATTCTTTTAGATGAGATTCTACTCTTGTATAATTTGTGTAACTAAAATAAACTTTAAAAAGACAATCCATTAAAATATATGCAGCTTCGAAGTTAGTGGTGACAGTGTCAGAGGCCAAATGCTGAAATCCTACAAAAAAATCCATTTTTTCCTGGTTATCTTTTGGGCAACTATGCAAAATATGTATTTAGGATTGTCACTGAGTTATTTTACAAATAGATTAAGAAATATTATTAGTAATCTTTCACTTTGAAAAAGATTCTCAATTCTAACCCTTGTCTCAGGTTTTAATTATACAAATATTTTATCCAGAAAATGAATTACATGTTCTGATTATTTAAAATACCCATTTCTTATCTAAATTGGCTTTTTATGACAAAAACTAACAAGAGTAGTAACTACCTAACAATAATGCCTTTTATACCAAAAATATACACAAAATTAAATGAAAAATGGCAACTGACACAGGACATGCAAAACATTATCTTTAAATATTTGAAGCTCTCACAAATCCACAGGAAAACAATGAACATGTCAAAAAGAATTACAAATGGCCAAAGAACAAGTATTCACTCTCTAATAGCCCAAACACATAATTCAAATGAGATATTTTCACCCATTAAATTTTCAGAGTTAAAAAATGATTGCTGGGGGATTCCTTGGCCTCTCTTGTACTTGTGTTGGTACAATACGTTGGTATATATTTCTGAAGGACAACTGATAATCATAGTTATCAAAGCCTTAAAAAGCCATAATCAGTTAATACTTAATTAGGATTTCCATTTAAACTGATTTCTAAATAAGCTTTGATTTACACTTTTAATCAAATATTAAAATGAAGAGAACTAAAAGGGGTGGTTGTGGATCAGGACAGAAGACTCACTAAAGACAAAGCAGCTATAAGCAAGGTCTTGCCAACTCCTCTCTTAAATTGGAAGAGTTGCCACAAGAATCGAAGGGAAATACATATGTTAAACTCTTAACTGCCCATGTGCTTTAATTTCCACAGAATCAGGAGGGCAGCCTTTCCTAAAAGAGAGGGGATGAAAGGATGAAACAGGTGTTTTGTTTTATTTTCAAATCTTCACCTCCATTACTAGGAGTAGAGAAGCACCAGCTTTTTTCGCCCCCAGCAAAAGAGCAGAATGTGACCACTAAAATCTCCTTTAGTACTTTCCTATACAGTTTACTCAAACTTGATTAATTACTGGTTTAAGATGGTCTAGGTGATACTCTTCTATGAAGGATTCTGCTTGATTTAAAGCCCTTATTTTCACCAGAATAAGAATTATTTCTTTGACTTCATCCCTGAAAAACAAACAAATAAAGCATTTCCCCCTTAAATATGCAATGTAGGAGAACACAGTGAATCATCAGTTGTTTATCTGAAACAAAAACTTTATCTTAAACCAATATCTAAAATAGCGTTATATATTCAGATGCTACTACTTTCTCCACATACTTATAAATTCATACTATTTCGTGTATTGTATTCTGGCAAGAATGTGAATGTGAATGACTGTCAAATGCAGAAAAGCACAGAGCAGTTCTGTCATCAAAAATCTGAGTTGTGGTGTGCTGTTACTAGCTTGTATGGGCTATTATGGTGGGAGCCTCAGTGGGAGTATTTACCCCACAGGCATCACCTAATGCCACAGATCTGGGCTTTCTAGTTTTGGAGAGATGGTTCATCAGACACTACTGTCCTCAAGGCCTAGACATCCACTGCAATGAATGAGATATACAAAACAGAGATCTGACTACTGTTGGGTAAACACCAGGTTGCAAACTGCAGACCTGTACTTAAAAAGTGTTCAGGCTTTAAAAATGGCCAGGAAAATTTAAAACATTAAAAACATGCTTAATAAGAAACTTGATTTTCTTTTAAAAAAATCTGCATTTTAAATTCTAAATTCCCCTGTGCTATAGTTTTCTGGAAGTGATTTACATTTAAAAATATGAACTATATAGATGCATGAGGTGTGAGTATATAATAGTGACTCTAAAAGTTGCACATAGAAAATATCTAGTAGCCCTAACTGGTTTGGCTCAATGGATAGAGCGTCGGCTTGGGGACTGAAGAGTCCCGGGTTTGATTCTGGTCAAGGGCATGTACCTTGGTTGCGGGCACATCCCCAGTAGGGGGTGTGCAAGAGGCAGCTGATCGATGGTTCTCTCTCATCGATGTTTCTAACTCTCTCTCTCCCTTCCTCTCTGTACAAAATCAATAAAATATATATATTAAAAAAAAAGTATGAATCTTTCTAAAAACTGCTGAGAATATAATAGAATCCTTGAGTTATGCTTATGGAAGTACAACTAAATATGCATTACCTGAATTCACTTCTAGATAGTTTATGTGCAGACTGCAATAAAAACTGGATGAAGTTTTCCAGCTGGGAAATAGATGTTCTCATGGTAGAATTTTCAAACCATTTTTCTGGTAAACATGCTGTTATCTGTTAATCAAAACACATGGTTGGTTTTAATAATGACAATTATCATCTAAGGACTTCTGCTAACATGATGCCAGTTAATCTTCATAATGATCATGCAGGTAAATTGTGAGAACTTTTTCTTTGTCAAGGGGTTATACACTTTTTAAGCAATCATACTTTAATACTAAGAGGTTAAAATAGACTACTATTGACAAATACCTTCTAATGATACTTGAAATACTTTCTATATTCTGTATTCCTGAGCCATTAAATCTGTACAAAACACTATTTACAACTAAACACCAGAAATGCCCGCACAAAAGATTTTTAGTTTACACAGCTATAAAACACATTTAGTATTGTTTCACTAAGATATTGGGTGATCTAGTGATAGGAGGGAAGGGCACACAATAAGAATAGGACTACAGTTGTTTAATGATTATTCACCTTACTCACTAGAGGGAAGAGGTTTTCCTACAGAGCCTGGGAAATTGGAGGCTGTGCTACAGGAAGAAAACAGGGCTGTGAAATGATGAGACACCTATGCCCGGATGGGTCCATTACTTAGAAAAAATACATTTTGAGAACAGATAAATGACAGGAGACACTTTCATTTGGTTGCTCTGCTTGAATCCTGACCCCCGCTGGGAATTTGCCTCAGGAAGGCTGACCATTCTAAGATCCTAGGAACAGGTGGACTCGTTTTTAACATCACAGAAAATTAACTACCTTGTTATCGGACTTCAAGATCCTGGACCACCTACACTGAAGCCATCCCTCCCCGCTGCCTCCTTGCACACATATCTATCTCCTTAACATGCAAATAGTCCGAACAGCAGAACAACTGTTTGCTATGACGTAGGCTGACCACTGGGGGGTTTGTGTGGAATATGGTGGGCTTTGGCCGCAGCACAATGGTGGAGCAGGTGAGCAGGGGTGCCAGACCAAGGTGGGGTGCCGGTCGCTGTCATTAGGGCGAGTCTCTGGTGGTTACTGAAAAAATTCTTTGCTCCCATCACTAGTCCTGCTGCTGGAGCTTGCACTATTCGCATCCTCTGTAAGCGCCTGGCGCAGGTCCCACTTGCCCCTCAGGGGTTCTCCATCTTCTCTTGCTCCTGAGGGGTGATCTCCTGCTCCTGAGGGGCCAGCAGCCATCTCTCACACCTGCTGCCAGCATTGGCCCTGCTTGCAACTGCAGCCAGTGCTGGAGCTGCCGCTCACACCCGCTGCTGGTGCCTAGCACCAGCCTGATTGCTCAACACTCAGCAGGTGTGAGCAGCAGCTGTTGGCCCTGATTGCTTCTGACGGCTTCTCTACCTCCCCCTGCTCCTGAGGGGCAATTGGGGCAGCAGCTGCCGCTTGCATCCACTGACAGCACCAGCCCCGCTCACATCTGCTGCTGGTGTCAGCCTCAGTGGCTCAGTGGTGTGAGTGGGGCCGGCACCGTTAGCACATGGGAGCAGACAGGACTGGGGGCCATGGCAGGAGGGGCCTGGCAGGGGTGCACAGGATGAGCTGAGACAAACCCCTGTGCCCACTGCAGCCTTGAGGTCCACAGTTCCCTTCAAGGTGCACAAATTCGTGCATTGGGACCCTAGTCCCTATATAATCAGCCAGCTAGTAGGAGGTGTTAGTACAGATTTTTGTGGATGTCCTGCAGCTCTCCCATTCTGCCAGCATCCTATATAATAAAAGGCTAATATGCAAATTCTCCTCAATTGGGTGTTTGACCAGTTCAACCTGGAGTTTGATCAAATTCCCAATTCCCCTACCCCCTGCCAGCCAAGCCCCATCACCCGATTGGGGCAGGCTGGCCCAACTACTGGTGCATAAATTCGTGCACCAGGCCTCTAGTTACTGAATAAAAGCTTATACATTATTCAAACGTGTCCCTCTTAATTGGTTTAAATAGTGATAAGTAGCCTGGACCCATTTGTTGTCTGGTTTCATTAGCATATGATCTATATAAACAAATTAAGAGTTAAGAAATTAAGTAGGTAATTCTAAGATACACAGGAAAAAAGTATGGCTTTGATTTTCTTCTAATTTAATACATTGCTTTAAATCTCTATGGCAGCATAAAAAGTCCCTATTAAGTACACTCAATATTTCTTTTGGAAGAAAAGGTAAAAGGGGAAAAGTTTTGATAAAAACAAAAATTTTAACAAAATAAAATAAAAACTTCACAGCTCAGGAAGAATAAAAAGGAAAGAAAAAGGGAGAAAGAAAAAACTTGAGGTCATACTATTCAGAGATTCTTAGATAATCAAATAAGTTATGCTACAGTTGATAACATCAAGATCAGTACTTATATAAAGTCAAAGGGAGAAGGGATATGCACCCCATATTATTAAATGTTATATGAAGTTCTTTCTAAAATAAATCTGACTGGTTAGCACTGAAAACACAGGTGAGAAAAAGATGTATCCAACTCCTTAATCACTTATTGCAATTTACCATAAAAAATGCAGATGCATTGCAAGCCTAAAGACAGAAAGCCCTATAAGTTTTGTTATGCTAACTGCACCTCTTTTTTAAGGTTCTGAAACCAGCCCTTACTGGTTTTTATTATTTGCACCAGGCTTTCCCTTTGTTTTGTATTACAAGCCTCGATAAGAGTCTCATGGAACCATGTAGCTTTTTCATAAATGAACCAAGGAAATAAAACCACAAGATCTTGGCTTGGTTTTCTAGCCACAAGCTGTGGAGGGAATGTCCTATGTCTTCTCTACTTCTGCATGGCACACTCCTGTGATCAATGCAGACTATATGGAACCTAATACATGGATGATGATTTAAATTTTTGGTAGGTAATGTAGTTTAAACTACATAAAAACTACATAGCCAGAAAAATTATGGTTGGCTAGGATCTGCAACCTAATGTTTATATATATATTTAAAATGTAAAGCTTAAAGTAATTTTTCTCATATTCTTAAGAGTTCTTCTACAACGTGACTTCTATCTTATGTGGATAGACAATGTTTTTGGACATTTAGGTTGTTTTTAATTAACTTCTGTTAGAAATAATGGTATACTAATATTATAACCCTTACACTTCAAATCTGTATGTACACCTCTGATTTTTACTTTGCAATGTTAATTCTAGGAATTTATTCTAAGTCAAAGGGTATGAATTTTAAAGGTTTTGTATCAATCATGCCAAACACTTTCCAGAGTGTATCCCTCCTTCCATAGAGCAGAGACTGTTCTCCAGAACTTGGTGCCACACAGGTCAGGTGAATCTGGAATGGTAAGGGGCTCTTGCCTCCCAGTGCTTATGCCAGCACTGGGAATTAAATGAAAATAACAGCAATAACTTTGCCAACACAACAGGTAAAATAATATCCTCACTGTGCTATTTGCATTTCTCTATTACTAATCTTTCTGACGTGTTTAGAGTTTATTTTGCATATTATTTTTTGGTGAATTGACTGTTGAATGTCTTTTGGCCACTTTTAATGGGAATATTTGAATTGTTTACTGATGTGAAAAGAGCTTTTTTGTATGTGGATATTAATCCCTGTTATACACAGGGGTGGGCAAAAGTAGATTTACTGTTGTAAATAAGTTTATTCTTATAATTTATTCATTACTGTATTATTAGTTACTAGAGGCCCAGTGTATGGATTAGTGCACTGGTGAGGTCCCTCAGCCTGGCCTGTAGGGACTGGGCTGAAACCAGCAGTCCCGACATCCCCCAAGGGGTCCCTGATTGTGAGAGGGTGCAAGCCAGGCCGAAGGACCCCACCAGTACATGAATCCATGCACCAGGCCAGTTTCAGCCTGATCACAGGCCAGGCCGAGGGATCCCACAGGTGCACAAATTCTGCATTGGGCCTCTAGTAAGATCTTTGGTTAATCTCTTCTCCCTCTCCCCCTACCCTCTGGGATTCATCATTCTATTCCATGTTTCCATGCCTGTGTGTTGAGCTTCTGCCCCCTGGTTGTCAATGTGCATCATAGCTACCAGTCGAACAGTCACTTAGGCTTTTATATATAGAGAACCAATGCACAAAATTCATGCAAGGGTAGGCCTTTGCAGTCCCCCCCAACCCCACCTGCCTTGGCCTGGCACTGCCCATGTGCACTTCTAGCCACACACCACAGTTCCCGGTTTTGCAGAATCCCCCCCAATCAATCGCCCTGCAGAGGGTGGGCTGGGCCTTCCTCTTTGGGGCGATCAATCGTACCCCACAGAAGGAGGTACTGCCCACCCACCACAGCCCACCAGTGGCCTGGGCTTCACTCTGCGGGGTAATCATGGGACGATGGCTGGGTCCCTGACCAACGGAATCACTCCCACGAGTGGCACGACTCTGGCACGAGTGGGTATCATAGTGTCTGGCACGAGTGGGTATCATAGTGTGGTCATCCCACTCTTTGGCCATTTGCATATTATGCTTTTATTATTATAGATTATTATTGAGCTACTTTTCCCAACCCTGACAACTTTTATTTCTGTTTTTCAATTTACTTTTTTTAAACTTTTTATTGCAGAAAATTTCAAACATAAACAAGAGAAAGAATAAGTTTAAGAGGCTCAATGGACCCATCTTCCAGTTTTAACAGTGATGAAAAATCTTGATATCTTTTTGGTTAATGTTTTTTGAGCCACTGAAGATTGATATCTTTATCAAACCTATCACTTTTTTCCATAATTTCTTTTATGTTCAGAAAGGACTTCCTTATCATCAAGTCATTTATCTTTTTAGTACAATATTTTATTTCATTTTTAACACTTAATTTTTTATTTCACTTGAAATTTATGTAGGTATTTAGTGGGAGGTAAGGATTTAACATTCTTTTTGTAAACAATTAACCAGTATGCTCATTTTTAAATAGTGAGGAGTTTCTCTGAGTTTCTAGTCTGTTAGATAGACTTCTTTATTATTATGTGAACATCACAATTTTAATTATTTTGCAACAAGATGTTTTTAAAATTGAATTAAACATGATGATAAAATTATAATCATATCATATGTAACTTACCTGGTTGCACTTTTTAACGATATCTGGCCCAGGCACAGCATTAAGAAGAGCTATGATAAGGTAACGATTTAGTAGCTTCCCCAGTGCTAGCTCTTTCAAGGTGTCATCTGGGAGGAGTCCAGTCCACAAAAGAATATTGCGGAAGAGCTAAAGTAAAATAACATGTCAAATGACTCTGTACCTTTTCTTGAAAGGAAAACTAGAACAGTCTCCAACAAACATAATAAGTTGGTCAAACTCTTAATTTTTCACTAATAGTTAATTGGAACTATCAATTTTAGAATCAATAAAAAAAATGTCTAAATAAATACCTGATACATTTACATTCCAACCTCCACATATTTGCTCATCCTATTTTAGTTTTTAGGACAACCATCGAAAATCCATCTCAAATAAACTTGCTGGGAGCCTTTACTAATCAGCAATCGTCCTCCTCAATCCATACTCTCCCAGAGTTTAAAGCCACTGCACGCAAGACTGCAGGACCCCAGGATTCGTAAAGGACTGCCGTTAAGCAGTGCCACTGCTACCATTGCAGACCTTCAGAAATCAATCAAACCCGAGAGCCTCCTTGGATGTACATATAAGATTAATAACCTGTAAATTTGAAGATAACTTGGATAAAATATTCAAAAGGACTTCTAATACAATTAATTTGGGTTGTCTTTCCCTCCTCTAAATCCAGATCTGTGAATTTTAGTGCTTTCCGCTTTCTTTCCAATACCGAATTTATTACTCTAAGTGCTAAACTAAATGAAAGTGTACTAATAAGCAATGCGTTTTTATTCATTGTCCTTGTGATATTGCTCCCTCTTCTTTTTTCCTGACTCAGCACATGACGAACATGAATTCACCCTACTGAAACTATTCTTGCTGAGGTCACCTATGATCTCCTAATTGTCAACTCTGATAAACATTTTCAGGCTTTCTCCTAATTCTCTTCAGTGACATTTAACACTGTCTTAATTTTCGATAAACCCTTGCTTAGTTTCCCTGATGCCAGAACTCTTTTGTGACCATTCTAAGTTTCATAGTTCATTCTAAGATTTTACTTTCTCTGCCCACCTGTTATGTCTGTGTTTCTGAAGGTCTGTCCTGGGCCTTCTTTTCATGCTTCATCCAATCTCCACAGAGATTATATTCATGACTATGGCTCCAAATACCACATGTGGCTTACCACAAATCTCTAGCTCAGATCTGTCCCTTATAATTCAGACTCACATATCCAATAGCCTCTTGGACCTCTATCAGGAATCTTCAGTTTACTATGTCTAAAACAGATCTTATTTTCCCTCCCAAACCTGTTCTTCCTGTATCCCCTCCAATGGCCCCAGAGAGTGTCATTTGTTTATGAACTGTGCTCATTTGTTTATGAACTGTGCCATGCTCATTTGTTTATGAACTGTGACTGTTTTTACACTATAGCAGCAAAGGTGAATAGTTCAACAGGGACTATATGGCAAGAACAGTCTGGTCCTTTACAGAGTTTATTGATATAGTAATGAAATATGTAGTAAACTGGAGATAAAAGAAAATTATTTTTTATTTTTGCAGTTCTCTGCTTACCTTTAGAGCTGACCAGAATTGTCTTTCTTGAAACTTTGAATGTGGTGATGTTTTCTTTTCTACAGCACTAATGTGAAATGAAAGACAAAGGAGAAAATACAAACAACTGTTAATCTTTCAGAACCAGAGATTAAAAAACTGAGTTTGTTTTTCTAACAAAGCAAACTAAGCTTTAATGGAATATAAATGAAGGTGTTCTGATAATATAAAAATTACAAATGCATGCACACTTTGACCTAATCTATTTTTGAGAATGGCTTCTGTAGATATACTTACACATGTACAGAATATCTATAACATTATTCACAACACTGTTGGTAATAGTTTGCCACTTATATACCCATCAGTTATAGTACAGCTATCTGATAGCATATTTGCATATTTAATGCAGCTTAAAAAAAGAAATGAGGAAACTACTTTTATGATGATATATATATGATGACAAACTACTTAATGAAAATTTCAAAGATGTACTAAGTAAAAACAACAACAACAATGTACAACTGTTTATAATATACTTTCTTTGCTCTAGAAAGGGGGAGGAAATAAGATTACAATATATAAGTATTTAATTCTAACTTCATAAAGAAACTGGAAAGGTAAAAAAATTACTGATTAATATTATTGTATGTATTCATGTACACAATGGAGAAAGGTAAAAAACTGGATGGATGGAGGTCAGGAGTGGGATGGAGTAAGAATTTTCATTTTAAATATAAATAACATTTATCTCTTCAATCCTGTGAGTACTTGCTAGGTAGCTTCAGATCATGATCCATAACTATAACTGATATCTTCTTAGCAAATATATGAACATGCATCAAATACTACTTCTTTCATAATTTAAGTAAATACAGAATTCACAGATGCAGTGATGTTCCAGGCTTTCTGCTGTGCTTTCTCTGTCCAGGCATTGTTTGGCACTCTTCATCTTCACACTGTCCTTTAGGGTGGGCATTAATCTAACGTCCCATTTTACATTAGAGGACAGAGAAAGGACCAAGGTCATTATCTAATAACTAGAGGCCCAATGCATGAAATATGTGAAAGAGCAGGCCTTCCTTCCCCTGACAGTCAGCACTGACTTCCCTTTAGCACCCAGACCTGGGCTGGCTTCCTTCCTGCCACCCGCAGGCACCTGGGACGTGGGCTTCCCTCTAGCCCTAGCTTGTCTGGAAGGACGTCCGGAATGACACCCAGAAAGATGTCCAGTCTAATTAACATATTACTCTTTTATTATAGAAAGATGGTGAATCTGGGCTCTTAATTACTCTGCTACCTTTCATATTCTTAAGAATAACATTAAAAACAAACCACCCTATCTCCAAGTATCAAGCATTGTACAAGGTAGATAGAAGGTAACTGAGAAATATTGAAATCTTAATTTGCATCTAAATAGGTATATGTATACTTTGAAAATTCTTAGTATAATTTCTTCATTACATTCTTAAATCTGTATTTCATGGTTATTTTATACAATCTAGACATTAATAGCTCTTACCTCTTTGGATACAGTGGAATATAAACATCATCTTCTATTGCTTTCTTCATTCTTGAAACAATGGATTTAACTAAGTCCTATTATTTGAAAATTTAAAAGCATCAGTGATAGTTATGGGTTGAAATATATTTATCAAAAGAAATAATTTATTTTGTACACACACAGAATTAGATGTTAAAATATCAATCAGGTACAAGAGAACTTAGTTCACCCAAGTTATTGCATGTCACTGTAGTTGGTATATTTCACTGCTGTATAGTGTTCTGTTGCATGAATGCTACTGATAAGACATTTAGATGGTTTCCAGTTTGGGGGCTATTATGAATAATGTTGCTATGAAAGTTTTTGCCCATGTATTTAGGACACTGTAGTGGTATCTCATTTACAGCCCACTGGCTGTATATGAGAAAACCTGTTTACTTACACCCTCATCAGAATGCGGTTGTTGTTTTTATATTTTTCAATATATTTTATTGAGCTTTTACAGAGAGGAAGGGAGAGGAAGAGAGAGTTAGAAACATTGATGAAAGAGAAACATCAATCAGCTGCCTCCTGCACACTTCCTACTGGGTATATGCCCACAATCAAGGTACATGCCCTTTACCAGAATTGAACCTGGGTCTCTTGAGTCCCCAGGCTGATGCTCTATCCACTGAGCCAAACTGGTTAGGGCCACTTGTTGTTTTTTTAAATTCTCACCTGAGGATATTTTTTCCCTTGATTTTCAGACAGAGTGGAAGGGAGGACATAGGTAGGGGGAAGAGACACACACATACATAAACTGGTTGCCTCCCAAATGCTCCCCAACCTGGGTGGAGGATTGAATCTGCAACTCAAGTATGTGCCCTGGACTAGGAATCAAACCCACAATCCTTTGGTGTGTGGGCTGATGCTTTAATCACTGAACCACACTGGCCAGAGCCCTAGTTTCTATAAATCAGAACTAAGTATATTTCCCCCCAAATAGTTTTCGGATAATTACTTCTTGTGCTTCTTCTGTAAACAAAGATTTATAATAAATTATGCCAATTTATAAAGAAATTTCTAGCTCTAGAAATTATTACCTGTTTGCCTTTACTAACTTCATTCTCACAAGTGGAATGTTCTTCAAGAATCATCCTGCAGTGAGCTATTAAACTTGTTGTCTGTGAGGTTGACAAAGGATCCCATATGAATTCTACAAAGTCTGAAACAAAAATTTCAGTAGTGCACAATTATTTATTATACTTGTTACATGTAAACAATATAAGCTTTTTAGCAAAGATTTCTGCCTTTTGTGGCTTAAAATCTACACCAATTATTACCATTACATATTTGCATATATCATCAATTTCCTTTTCCTTTTGGGCTTTGCTGAATTTGTCTGGCTACACCACCCCTTGTGATCCACCTTGTCACTGAGTCTGTTCTTGCAATCACGCAACTAAAAAGTGGCTGGAAAAAACACTTTAAATTTCTTTAAATTCACCACCGTGAAACTCAAGTGAACCCTGAGCTACACTGGCCAGGGCAGTACTGAGGAGAAATGTAAGGGGACAAGTTAAGGAAGAGAAAAAAATATGTAGTAGGGATAGAAGTGTGCCACTAATAAATGACCTAGGAGTTATAAAAGCAATACTAATGTCACAAATGCTAATGGCCAAAGATTATCAACCATTTGATAGCAAATCAATTGCACCAACAAGTATTTTTTAACCAGATTAAATTATGACACCTATTGATTTTTACTGCTTATTACATTTTCTTGTATTAAAAAACTTCTGAGAAAAAAAAGTGTAACTGTACAGAAAATAATGATCTTATATTTTGTCCCAAAACAATTTAATTAAGATTACAAAACAGTACCTGTAAGTCGTGGGATAATTGTTTTGTTGATGACAGAAGACAAGATTTTCTTATCGGAATTATCTTCCTTCTTTGAATTTTCCATACTATTATCTATAAACTTTTCTATAAATGTGAACCATGGCATCTGTTTTAAACCTATGGAATCAAACTTATAAATAAAATTATCAGTTATAAATAAATTCTTAAGCATTTGCTTATTTTAAAATGACTTTTTTAAGGATTAAAAGCAAATAATTCCTTAATTTAACTCCATATATACAATACTAGACCACCAAGGCTAGGCAGGATGACATGAGTAAAACAGGATGTCTATGCAATATGCATGCATTTCATACATTTTTATGACACATCCCAAAATGCCCACAGTGAGTTAAAAGCAGACTATATTGCAAGTACTGTCAGGAGTAAAATACACATTTTTAAGGTAACTATAAGTGCTATTCTTATTTATTTATACAAATTTACCTCATGCAAAATTCATTTCTGGCTCCCTAAGTCTCATAAGCACAAATATTTTGCCAGGGACTTAGCTTACTAGACAAATAGCAGATGGCCAGTTATTTGTCGAATGAATGAATGGATTCTGCTGGGCCTAACAGAGTATTCCATTCAGCTTGAGTGGTTAACAACTAGGCTGCTGTCCTATCAACTACCTACCACTTTCTTAGAGATAAGCTTGGTTCCTATACTATGAAGACTGTATGGCCTTATACCTAACACAGAGCCAATAGACATGCATGACTAGGGCAGAGAAAGATAAAAGAACATGACACCATCCTTTTCTTTATTAAATCTTCACCTTCAGTTCCCCTCTCTTCCTATCATTTTCATTATCTCATTTCTGTTTCCTTATTAGGCATATCTAGACAGATGTCTTGTTATTATTTTATTCTCTAGAAAGTGAAACTTTCTTCAAAAACTGTTTCCCCTTTGAAAAGTCCTCATTTCTACTCATGAAGCTACCATTGTTCTAACAACTCAGAATCCAAATGTTGGGATTATCTTTGGATGTGGGGTGTTAGGTTTATTCTTAGCATTTTACTGATTCTTGCTTCAAAACACTTCTTGCAATCAACTTTTTTCTCTTTTTGTTACTACCACCCTACATAAGGAATTCATCACCTTGGACTTGGGCTACAGCAAATCCTTCCAATATATACCTCCACTTTTTATCTTCCGTCCCTCTAAGCCTACTGCTAGCATTTCCTACACCATTACTTTCACCATGTCACCCCTCCTTTTATTTACCAAAGAAAGTTCATACATATTAATTTAGGACCTGAACACTGTGCAGTATCTACCTCTTGAACTCTATTTCTCTCTATGCACCTTTATAAAATACTTTCTCCTCTTTCCCCTCCGTTTAAGTCCTATATACTTTTCAAATCCTCATTAAAATCCCTCCTCCTCAATGCACTAGCTTCACTAACCAACTATTTCCAAGATGGCATCTCCAACTTCAGAACTCCTGGTACATGTCGATTTTCCAAGACTAAAGGCCTAAAACTTAAGGCCTAAAACTACCTCTATTTTTTCAGTGTCTTAAACTTACCAAAGCAGCAGCTTTAAAAAAAAGTGTTTCCTTTACTGGTGTTTAGTGTTAACTTCAAAAATAAAGTGCAAACCAAGTAAAGATAGATGTAGGTTATTACTGCAAATCACCAACTGTCAACTCCAACTCTAAAGGTGAGGTATTTTATAACTACCTGATAACAAGGGAATTTAAGTAACTAATGTGATCAGAATTTTTCATGTTAAGTTTAAATACCTTAAGAGGATTCCAATTAATCAACTGAACTCGTATTAGGGGGTTTAAAAGCTTTGGTATGCATAAACCAATGAAAGCTTCATGATAAGAATCAGGAAACTTTTCTCGCCATTGTTGAAATTTTAATAAAATATTCTGGATATTAGAAAAATCATCATGCACATCTTCAAAGATCTTCTTATGATCCTGTAAAATGTCACCTGTGAACAAAATGAGTCTTTGTGATGCATTTTAACAGAGCTTCCTATAAGTGGTTATATATAACTACTAAATCAACTGAGTTGAAACTTTCCTTTGATATTGACATATAAACTAGTTTTCATTAAAAAAGTCACTTTAGTAATAATAATATCAATACTCACAAAATATACCATTAATTGAGTCCCTGCTATATGATAAAACATTACAAATACATGATCTCATTTCATCATAACTATCTTTCCTAAAAGTTAGGTGTTACTAGCCTACCTATTACAGACAATAAACAAGCAAGCAAACACCAACAGAGTTAGGGAAGTCAAGGAATCTGTACAAGATCACACTGAATGGAGGTCCTCTTCAAAGCCATCTCACTGACTGCAAGCCCACAACTCTTTCAACTATACATCTTTTACCTTCGCATAATGGTAAAATGGCCTTACTATATTCAATTATTTTAAATTACAAGTGATAATACAGAAAGTACGTGGTGAGCAATGAAACTCATAATGTTCATGGTTCCTTTACAACAGGAAATGAGAAAGGATGAGGGGGAAAAACTATAAAGATGCAGTAATATTCACAATGCTCCTCGTTTTATCCCAGTTTTTCAAAGGTAGAAAATGTCTCCAAGAACACTTCTTTTCCCTAAAATTTCCTATTTTATACAACTTATCTAAGGACAATTAATACAAAGCAATTCCCACTTCGAATAAAGATACATTAGAAACTCGGTGGCTGACCTTGACTTTTTTGGAAGTCAGCCATGTCTGCTGAAGATAGTTCATCATCACTAGAAGTCCCTTCCTGATGGTCACAATTCCCAGAAAGTGCCCTTGCTTGTCTTCTTTGAGCCCTGTATTTTTCAATAAACCGAAAATCAATGAAAAACAAATAGCTCCTGCTGAAAGTAAATACTTTAAAACAGAAGGTAGAAGTCATGATTCATTTAAAATGCCCAGAAATCAGCATTATATTGGCACTCAATTTTATGTTAATATTTTTGACATTTAAGCTTCATTATTTTGAATTGGTTGTTCTCCCTCTTTTCTCTTATGATATTCCCATTTAGGATATTCCCATAGGCTACCCAGACTTTAAAGAATGTGTAACAATATAATTAGGACTGGCTTCTACTGAGCAGCAATTTCCAGCCTGATAAATGCCATTTTATTTATTCCTTTTGACTAATCCAAATACACCAGTGTGTCTTTAAACCCTGGAATTGAGGGTTTAAATTATATTTAATTAAGATTGCTAAGCTATATTTTGGTTTTACATTATTCTCACAAATTAATTTCTTAGGGTATGGTTAATTATACCATGTAGTTAATTATATTTAAGTAGTGAAAAATACTTGCTCAATGATGCTTTTAAGTCTTCACTTTATATAGCTACCTTCGAGATTCAATTTCTTCTAAAATACATTGAATTTTTTCATCTATAGCCAAGCTTCCATTTGTTGATGTCTCAGCTTTGCCTATTTTCAAAAGAAATAAAGTGAAACACTTTGAAAACAAAAGTTATATCTTGGTTGTGTATACATATGTGTGTATACGCGCGCGCGCGTGTGTGTGTGTGTGTGTGTGTGTGTGTGTGTGTATGTATAAACATATATTATATGCTTAAATTCTATATTACATCATACAATTAAAGTACAATGCATTAATAGGCATTGAGTTTGGGAGCTTAAGAAAATATATATTGAGGACAGTAACAAAATTCCTCTAATTTCTTTGTCTCAGATCCTGTTTTAGTAGTTTTCACCTGTTTTAGTAGTTTGTCCCTGTAGCTAAATGCTAGATACATCTGCATTACCAATATGTCATTCATATTACTTCCTATTTTGGCATGTACCATAATGCATGACCAACTCAATGTCCTATTTGAAAGTCATTTTGCTTTTGCTATTATCATCTACTTGATAATGTCATTACTTTAACTATCCCTTGAGTACCTTAATGAAAGACATCCTAGAAAATACAAAACCAATGTGAAAACTAAAAGCACCTCAATCTTTTTTTTTTTTTTTTAAATATATTTTATTGATTTTGTACAGAGAGGAAGTGAGAGAGATGAGAGTTAGAAACATCGATGAGAGAGAGTCATCGATCAGCTGCCTCTTGCACACCCCCTACTGGGGATATGCCCGCAACTAAGGTACATGCCCTTGACCGGAATCGAACCCGGGTCCCTTCAGTCCCCAAGCCGACGCTCTTTCCATTGAGCCAAACCGGTCTCGGCAGCACCTCAATCTTAAATAATGAAATCAACCAGAATTTCTTTAACATCCATAACCAATCTATGGAAGGGCCATGGAAATTTTATAAAGTTAGATTTCTGAGAAAGTCTATGAATTTATGCCAACTTATATCAAAATAGTCATTAAATGGCGATATACATATTTTGTCTCAATCCTAAATAACTGGAAGTTATATTTTTTAGTCTTAAGACTTAATTTAAGACCTTTTAAAATCCTCTAAATGTTTTGGGATTTTTAGAAGGGAGTCAGTTAAAGATTCTTGAAAAATTCGTAAAAACATCATTTTTTAAATACAGGAATATTTTTATTCTCTAGCTAATAATTTAGCATAAAAAATAATGAATTATATTGAAGATGTAAAACACTAACGTGATAACTGTTGTAAATACGTTGATTCATGTTTTAATTCATCTTGCCTGCGTTTCATAAAGATCATGGCTTGTTTTAAGAGGAGTGCATGCATGGATGATTCTATTTCTTGGATGTTGATAATCTGCAATACATATATAAGTAACATTTTGAGGATCATCAATAATAAATAATAAAATGTAATCATTAAATCTCATATAAACATTTGGATACTATCACCTCTAGTTAAAAAAAAATGCTGTGAGGAACAGACCTAGCTGCTAATACTTTCAATATTAAAAAAACCAGAAAATCAATTTACTGTACTACACAGCTATAAATATCATAAATAATGAAACCAAATGGGCTGAAGTCAGGAACATAGTAAGAGTGGACAGATAAGAATTTTATTTGTTTGAGCTAGAAGAGGAGAAAATGATGGATTGTTGGGTGTAGCCATTTTTACAGGCCAAGGGAACAGTCTGTGGGTAATGGTGGTGGTGGTGGTGGTGGGTGGGGGGAACTTGAGGAAACCGGTAAAATTATAAAAAAGTGGAGTATGAAGAGACTAGATAGGTAAAAAAAGCTGTAAGACAGAAATGAGTGATTAACTGAAACTGGCATTCTTATATTTCTGAGGTAATTTCCTCCACTCCAATGACGTTTCATAGATGCTGCTATGGACACATCAATGTGTAGACTAATAAGACTAACAGTGTGATTTTTAAAGGATGAATGAAGAAAACTACATTGTAATAAATTCTTCAGAAAGTAACTACCAAGTGATATTAAAAGGTGGTAACTACCAAGTGATATTAAAAGGTGGTCAACTTAAAATAATAGTGAATAAAAAATAATGCAAAAAGTAGAGTGTACTGTATTTCTAAAATGGTTAAAAAAAAGGAACAAGATCTTTCTATGTGGACTTAGAATGTATATAAAAAAGCGAGAAACTATAAAGGAAAAAATATGATTCATCAATTTGATTAACACAAAATTCTCAAAAAACGTGATTGTTGGAAAACCATTGCAAAAACAAAACCAGAAGACAAAACAAACTAGAAAGTTTATATAAACATCAAGTAGGAAAAAGCATTAAAAATTTAAAGCACTAAAAAACTGGAGAAAAAAACACTAAGAAAAAAAAGGGGAAAAAAAATCTCCAATTGAACCAAAAAGATAAGCGGGCAAAGGAGAAAAATAATTCAAAAGGAGAAAAGCTACATGTGTTAGTCAAACAAAGGGTTTGTCTGAGATAAAAATAAATATATGAAAACAATAACCTTTTTTAATGTAGTAAACTAAAAATAAAACGTACAATTTTTCTAGAGAATAGTTTAGCAATGTTTCATAAGCTTTAGAAATATCTAGACCCTTTGACTTAATAATTTACTTTTTAGGAATTTTTCTTAAACAGATGAAAGTTTAACACATACATTTATAAACAAAACTTTATACTATCTTAGCTATCCAATAGTAAGCGAATGCTTAATATCACAGTACATAAAAATGTGTAAGAAAAAATACTAGAGGTAAGTATTTAGTTGTGTAATTTAGGCTTTTTGTAAATCACATAAGAGAATTTCTCTATAAAAATGATATAAATATCATAGTCATGTACCTTTTCATTAAGACAGTCAATTAAATTGTCCACATAAATTTTCATGCTTTTATAGAATTTAAAATTTAGAGCTTGATCTGATGAATTTTCTAGGTTCTGGATGGCATTCTTTGAGCTTTTGACATCTTCTACATATTTTTCATATTCTCTCTGATGTGAGCGGTGAATATCCTGCAGTGATGTTAATCTATAGAAATAAAATAAAGACAAATAAAAATGGACTTATTTTTCAAATTTTCATTTCTACTATAGTAAGTAGCAGTCTGATGAGAGTTTTTTCAAAGCTACCTTACAGAGACTATCAAGGAAACTGACAATCTCATAAACCTGGGCTTATGAGACTTGCTGAGCAGAGAGTATCACAAAGAAAGTGGTCTTGAAGAGAAAAGTGGGAAAGGACACTAAAGTTTTTAGGTGCTCAAGCTAATAACAGAATCGTTTTAGTCCTTTCCTTTTGCATAAAATCCTGAGTTATATGCAATACTACATCAAATAGTTGTAATTCTAGTTCTTTTCTTCCAAATAAAAAGAGTATTGAAAAAAAAATGATAAGTTGTTACAAAAATAATCCTGAATTAAGGCAACCTCATCATTTAACATCATACTGAAAAGCAATGATGTAGAACTAAGGTTGGAGAATTTTTTTCCATGAAGTCCACATAGTAAATATTTTGAGCTATGGAGGCTAGATGGCTGTGTTGCAACTATGTACTCAAATCTGTGTTGCAGTATGAAAGCAGCCAGACAACACAGAAATGCACAAGCTTAAGTTCCAATAAAACTTATTACAAAAACAGCCATGCCTCTAGAATACTGAGATAACAGAATATTTAAAAACTGGTATAAATTAAGATTTCCATATATTTATTTCACTATAAAATGCTATAAAATGTTTTCTATGTCAAACCATTTAACTGAACAACTATGACCAAGATATTACGACTGCAATATGATAAAGGTATGAAGTTATTTTAAAGCTGATTTATACAAGGAAGAAAAATTTTAACCTCTTCCTAGGCCCTAGGGTATCAGAAAAAATTCCCAGGTATTAAAAAAAAAAGAAAATCTTTAAAAACACAGTACTTGGAAAAAAAAAAAAAAGAAAGAAAAAGAAAAAAATAAAGTACTTGGCAGGAGAAATAATATTTCCTTATATCAAATCTTATAACTAATTAGACTTTTACTATCAGATTTATTATTTTATACATCTAAAGATACAGACTACATCCTGAGTAGTAAAACAGAAAACATTTAAAATGAAACAAACTATTATGGGATTTGCCTTAATTTTAGCAAAAATGCTGTAGTCAGTGTGTGTCATAACAACTGGTCATTCCTGGTTGTTCTGCCATTAGGGTTAATTTGCATATTACCCTTTTATTATATAGGATAAACTCTGTGCCCAAATCTGCCTCTACTTCTTGGACTTCAATAATATATATGTTGTTCTACCTAATGGTGTCCTATCAATCCCGTAAACTTTATTCACTTTTCTTCATTCTTTTTCCTATTGTTTCTGACTTGATAATTTCAAATGACCAGTCTTACTAGTCATTGCTTCTTTCTTCTGTTTGATCAAGCCTGTTGATCCCCTCCAGCAAGCTTTTCAATTCAATTACTGTATTCATCTCCAGAATCTGTTTTTTTTAAATAGTTTCTGTTGATATTCTAACTTTGTTCATGTTTTGTTATCCTGAGTTCATTTAGCTGTGTTCTCTTGTAGCACACTGAATTTCTTTAGGAGGATTAGTATAAATTCTTAGGTAATTCACGATCTCTGTTTCTTTAGGATTGGTTCTGAAGATTTGTTTCTTTGAGCAATGTCTCCCTGTTTTTTCATGTGTTTGATTATTTTTGTTTTGTGTATTTGAAAATGCTTTGTACTGGAGAGGAACTTCACTAAGTAGGCTGGCTAGAGATTCTTTAGGGAGAGTGTGTTTTCTCAAAATTTTTATGGGGGATGCATCTTTTCTAAGCTTCTAGATGAAATTTCCCGAACACAGGTTTGTGGGTTTCTTTCTCAGGAGTCTGTTTCCTCTGGCTGGCTCTGCAATAAGCCATTGGACTCACTTTCATCCTCTGTGGCCCCAGGCATCCAAGGTGTGACAGTTCCCCATTAGTGCTCCACGACAGACAATATAATAATATAATTTTTCACTATTAAATGTCTAGGACAAGTGTAAATTTTAATGGGAATATTACTTACCTTCTATTTATTTGCTTCTTTATAATTTCTAAATTTACTGGTGGAAATGAAATGGAAGTATCAAACTTCTTCACTGTTTGAAATTCTCTACTATGAGAAAGATCTATGTTTCTTCCCTAAAAATAATATAAAAGTTAGTTTTCAACATTCATTAATCTTACAATTATTAACATAAAGGCAGATTATATACTTTAAGATTTCACTAGCTCAGTTGGTCCGAAGGTTGTGGGTTATTGTTAAGCTGATTAAGATTTCACTAGCTCAAAATTCTATGCCACTGACATTTTTCATAGTTACAATAAGATATTTTTATATCCTGTTTTCAAATAAAGAACTTTAAGGTAACATGTAAGAGATAAATTATAAAATCTTATTTTTCTTTTTCTTTAATCCTCACTTGAGGACATGAGAAAGAGGGAGAGAGGGAGGGAGGGTGAGAGGGAAGGAGAGAGAGAGCTGTCACATTTGTGGTAATGTTATAGGAGCCACAGGAAACTAATACATGACATAAAAAAAAAATTTACCTTTGTGATTTTAACTGCTTTCCTCATTTGCTGCTCTTCCCAAGTATCTTGTTTTTCATCTTCCTGACTTTCTTCACTTGATTCTTCATTTCTGGTTGCTAGGAAAAACACAACAGTTCATGGATAAATATTCAATATTTTTCCAATTCTAATATAGCAACTAACATTTTTGGCGGGCTTATTATGTGCTGGCTTAGCAGCCTTTTAGAAGTGTTAACTTATTCTTCACAATAATTCTGGGAAGAAGGCATTATTACTATCTCATTTTATAAATGAGAAAACTCAATTATTAGAAGGTTAAACAACTTGTCTGAAGATTGCTGAAGCTGGACCTTGAAATCTATCAATTTAACTCCAGAAACTGTATTCATCTCCTAAATGTCCCACTCAAAACGTCATAATTCATTTTAAAAAAAGCTTGAAAAAAACACACAATGTTTGGTTTTCCCTATCAGTCTCTCAATTCTGCATGAGAATCTAAATATTTAAAAATAACTTTTAGGTTATAAGGAACCAAGTCTCACTCTGAAATAAAAGTATTTGAAGTAACAAAAATGTTGGCAAAACATAATATTTTTTATAAACGAGAAATGTGAAAATCGTCCTTTGAGATCTAAATTATTGCTTGAGAAAATTGTTTAATATAGCAGAGAAGATTTTAATACCTGACACGTAAAACCCCTGTAGATGCTTACAAGTTTAAAAAATAACTTTTATATGCCCTGGCCAGCATGGCTCAGTTATTTGAGCATTGTCCCATGCACTGAAGAGTCACTGGCTCAATTCTAGCCATGGCATATGCCTAGTTTTCAGGTTTAATCTCAGATTGGGATGTGTGTGGGAGGCAGCTAATCAATGATTCTCTCTCACATCAATTTTTCTCCCCCCCCCTTCCACACTAAAAACAAAAACAAACACACACCTCAAACTCAATAAAAACCCATCTTTAAAGGTGACAATGAAATATTTCAATACCAAAAATAAGACATTGACATTTTTTTAACCTGTCAAAAATTACAAGTGGAGATCAAATGATCTATCCCACATAATAAAAGCCTACTATGCAAATAAACTGAAAGGCAAATGACTGGTCATTATGACACACACTGACCACCAGGGGCTGGCACACATACAATGCAGGAGTTGCCCCAGGCCAACCAAGGTGGGTGCCAGCGGGGGGACCTCCCCGATTACCCTATTGGCCTCCCCACAGAGGGAGGTGACTAGTGGTGGTGGTGGGGCTGGTGAGGGGGTGGCACCAGGCTGGCCAAAGTAAGTGCCAGCAGGGAACCCGTTTGCCCCGGTCACTCCACAGATTGGCTCTTATCGCTGGCCAGGCCTAGGGACCCTACTTGTGCAAGAATTTCATGCACTGGGCCAATATATATATATATATATATATATATAAATAAATAAAAGCCCAGCTACCGTTAGGGCGGAAAGACCAGCTGCCATGATGTGCACTGACTACCAGGGGCAGATGCTCAACGAAGGACCTTCCCCATGGTGGTCAGCGCTCACCATTCCCACAGCAAGAGTGCCACTAAGAAGCCAGGTTCACAGCGATGTGTACAGTAGTGGTGGCGGGAGCCTCTCCCACCTGAGGCAGCGCTAAGGAGCAGCAAGCCAAGCAGTAAGGAGCAAGCAGGTGGGCAGTAAGGAGTGGTAAGCCAAGTGGTAAGGAGTGAGCAGGCAGGTGATTAGGAGCGAGGGGTTCCGGATTGCATGAGGGTGCAGGCTGGACTGAGGGGATCCCCCCATGCACAAATTTCGTGAAATCGGGCCTCTAGTCCAATGGTTGCCAACCTTTCGGACCTCATAGATCACTGGTTGGTGACATCTGCTCTAGTTTATATATATTTAAAGCCTAGCGACCGAATGGTGCAATGACCAGACGACTGGTTGACCTGTGGTTATGTCATGCAGTGACCACCAGGGGGCAGACACTCAATGCAGAAGCTGCCCCTTGGTGGTCAGTGTGCTCCCACAGTGGGAGCACCGTTAGGCTGACTGGGATGAGCTGCTGCTCCCACAGTGGGAACAGCCACTACCAGGCCCACGGTAAGGCTAAATCTCTGTACTTATCAAATACCTGAGACAATCCAAACTCTGGCCTGATCTCACCAGCTGATGCAGGCCCTCTAAGGTGTGTTCTAGGAAAGGCACGGGGAGCTGGCATAGTTGGATGGCAAGAGGGTATGTGACTGTGGACGACCCCCACCCTCTCCCCTCTCCTCTCCCCCCCACCCCCCTCGCCCAGAGAACCTGTCCTGCTGGCTGAGGGTCATGGAGCACGAATGCCCTGAACATTCCCGATGGTGTCACTGACCTGGCGTCACACATCAAGGACATTCACTGAGTGGCTATGCGGTGCAAAGCTCTCTGCCAGGTTCCTCCAGGACACAGAACAGGATTTTACCCAAGATGTTACCCCAAAATACCAGCTCAGACTAATTTCCTCATTCAGTAGTTGCTCAGAAATGGGGGTCCACAGCCGGCCCTGGCCTCTAGTATCCTAATAAAAAGCCTTCATGTTCATATATTGTAAATAAAAGAAATACGTACTTGTTTCTTCAGCCATTCTTTGTCTAAGTGTTTGAGGCTTTAGGGTAAATGGTATTCTTTTTTCATGGTCATCAGGCTCACTCTCAGGATCTTCATCACTATCTTTCTTCGTATCAGCGATGGTAGAAAGATGTTTTACATCCAAAGAAATATAGTCCTCTTGGGCCCTGGCCAATTCACGTTTTCTGCGGGCTGCCTGAATAAAAGCTGCATCAGGGATATTTACTAAAAGAAACAAAGAGGGGAATATTAAAAACCAAACACCAACAGAAATAAATACTCTTCATATTAAAACAAACTGGTTTTCTAATTTTTTTTTCATTATTTTGATATGAATGTAAATGGCTCACACTATATTTTTGAAATAAAACTATCTTGACAGAGATAAATAATTTTTAATTTTTAAAATTTATTTTTAAATAAACCAAATGAAGAAGTATCAGAAAACATACTGAAACCACTCTAATTTATCTTTTAACTCTTATCCATCAGCTGCTATTGCTGACTTTTTGTTGAGGGCTAGCCATTTTATTTCTAGAAGCTCTGAATTGTCAGGGTAGAGATGGGAGAGGGTCTAGCATGAGTTGTTCAGTCAGTGATGACTGAAGAGGTTAGTTGGTGATAGACGTAATAAAATGTCTTAATGTTCATATATTGTAAATAAATTAAATATGTATTTGTTTCTTCAACCAGGAAGAAACAGATCAGTTGGTGATAGACCAATTTAACATACAAAGTTACAGGGACACTATGCTATCATCCACCTCTCTCCATTGGACATCTAGGCATACAGGGAAGTGAGTAGTGTGGTGATTCCCATGTGAATACATGTGAGATGTTAAAAAAAAGTACAAGAAATAATCAGGTTCATTTACCAGGTGAAAAAATACTTAAGTATTATAATAACATCTTTTAATAGAGCTTTATTTTACTTTTTTTCTTTATTTTATACAGTATAAACCTTATTAATATGGAATCTTTAAATTCAAAACAAGTTTCTTCATGCATGATCTAAATTGAAATTAATCTTTACACTGTGGGAAGAAATGGTTTCGTAAGCAAATACTAAAATAAACCAAATGGCAAGAGAAATTTTTACCCTTTCAAGCACTTGAAAATATTAATGAGGGGTGTCAAGACATTGAGGCTCAAGTAATTATTTTCTAACCTTTCCCACAAACTGGTCCAAATTCCTTTGAGAATAAACAGAAAAAAGGTCAAATTCCTAGAGATGCAGAAATATTCCAATTTTTTAAACAGAAAAGAATAAATAAATAAAAGAGACAGATTTCAAATAACTTAAGTAAAACAAAAAGTGTTTGTTATAAAGCAGTAGCTACTGAAGTGCTACTGCTAGTACCTGGTAATAACTAGAAACCAGTATGTAACCAGGAGGTCATGGTTTGATTCCCAGTCAGGGCACATGCCCAGGATGAGGCTTGATTCCCAGTGTGGGGCATGCAGAAGGCAGCCGATTAAGGATTCTTTCTAATCATTGATATTTCTGTCTCTTTCTTCCTCTCTGAAATCAATAAAAAACATGTTTTGTTTTTTTAAAAGGACACAGGCTCTGGGGCAGTGGCTGGGTTTGAATCTTAGCTGTGCTTCTTATAAGCTATCTGAGGTTGGGCATGTTATGTAATGCAGAAACTTAGACCATAATTAGTAATATCCTACTTGCCCCATACTTGACTACAGTTTATGTTATTAATAATAAGATCAATGGTACAGGAAATACTGATATTAGAAATAAAGTTCCTAAACAAAATCACAAAAATTACCAACCTATTGATGAAAATTCCTCTTCCAGAGAGCTAGAGCTGTCGGAAGATGAGCTCTGATCATCCTTACTTTCTGAGGCATCGTATGTTCCATCCTCTTCATCAGTTGAAAGGTCAACTGTTCTGCATTCTAACGGGATATTTTTTAATATAACAAAGAGTCAGGATATTAGAATCAATAATAAAAGTTCTGAGCAATACCATGGCATAGGTATACTATGGTGTTCTAATTTTACTCCACATACAGTCTTTCTCCAACTTCCGTTCTCTCTGAAACCAATGGACAGTCTAAAATATATACAAAGGCTTACCCTACTTGAACTCCTTTCAAGGAGTAAAATACTCCTTTAAAGGATGCAATGAGAAGAGGAAAGGGAACACCAGAGGGGGGGAAAAATATAGTTGTAGTAAATAAGTATAAAACAACAACCAAATTAATGTGCTCTTAGAATGTGTTAGGCCAGTGGACGGCAAACTCATAAGTCAACAGAGCCAAGTATCAATAATATGACAATTGAAATTTCTTTTGAGAGCCAAATTTGTTAAACTTAAACTATATAGGTAGGTACACTGTTATTAACTTAATTACTCCTAAGATTGCCTTTGCTAAAAACTCAAGGGGTCAAAGAGCTGCATATGGCTCGAGAGCCGCAGTTTGCCGACCACTGTGTTAGACACATTGTAACTTGTTTTATATAGTTTATTTCATTTAACACTCACAATTCTATAAAGTAAGTGCTATTACTGAGGAAAACTAGCATCCTCATCAGGACTGGAGAGGCTAAATAACGTGTCCAATGTCACAAAGTTAACCAGTGGAGAAGCAGGGCTTTCAACTCAAGTTCATGGGGAAGGGGGATGATAAATACCAAAACCCAATTAGGGACAAACAAACCCAAGATAAAAGGAAAGCAGTGACGCTCACCAGAGAAATTCCCACATTCCCTTATTAGCTCATTTTGATTCTTCAGCATATATCAAAGGATACACCAGAAAAGCTGTTGAATCTTCTATTGGGATCCTCTCATTAGACCTCCCACAAATCACCGGACTTTGGAAACCAGATAAAAACCCTTAAGACCAGTGGTCGGCAAACTGCAGCTCGCGAGCCACAGGTTTACCGCTCTGTTGACTAATGAGTTTGCCGACCACTGCTAAAGTCAAAGAACCCAGTGCTTGCTCTCTTTGAGCATACATCCCCTTCCTAAGCTCCCAGCGCCCCCAGGAGACTTGCAACCAGGGGAGCAGCAGGCTGCAGCAGCTCTGGGCCTGTTTCCAAGGCCACTCCTGGTGCCTGGGTGACTAGTTCCCTGAGTCCAGGCCGCCCAGCCCAGGCTCACTCCTATGCTGTGATCTTGCCTCTTCTATCTTAAGCCTTTCTTTTGTTTCTCCGTTCCATGCTTTAATAAACACTCTCTCAAAATCACCTTGACTCCTGTCCTACACGAAGTCAAGAACCCACACGTTCCAGACCATGGCAGGGCAGACCCATTCCAGTCCCAGCCCCTTTCTGGTGACAAGATGACTCAGAGAGAGTAGAGAAACATACATTCTATGCAAACACATTTATGCTGCTTGGATCCTATACTTAAGAACACACAGGTACCGCCAAGACCGGTTTGGCTCAGTGGATAGAGCCTCGGTCTGCAGGCTGAAGGGTCCCAGGTTCGATTCCAGTCAAGGACATGTACGTTGGTTGTGGGCACATCCCCGGTGGGGAGTGTGCAGGAGGCAGCTGTTTCTCTCTCATCGATGTTTCTATCGGGTCTAGTAATAATTAATGTCGTTTTAAACATTCGTTTAAAATCTTGCTTGGCGTTGACTTGTATTGACATAACCTTCAAACACGTGGTATCTACAGAACATGTGAAGTGCAATTAACAAGTTTTGCTTGAAAAAGTTTGTGTTTGGTTTGGTTTTTGTTGCAAAACTAGGGCTAAGAAGATGGCGGATCAAGAGCATATTCAGCACTGCATGCTTTACGAGTTCAATTAGGAAGAAAAGCAAGTGAGGCTGCAAAAAACATCTGTAGTGCTCTTGGTCAAGATGCAGTTAGCGCCAGAAAATGCCAGCGTTGGTTTGAGAAATTTCGCGAGGGAAATTTTTCATTAGATGACAAGAGTGGTCGAGGCCGTGTGTCCAATTTTGATCAAGAAGCTCTTTTGGTGCAAAATCCTCAAATTACCCAACAAGAGCTTGCGACAACTTTAAATTGTTCACAAAAAACAATTTCCAATCAATTGCGTGCACTTGGCAAAGTCCAAAAGTTTGGAAAATGGGTTCCTCATGAGTTGACCGACAACAACCATAATCAAAGAGTCACAATTTGCAGTTCGCTCCTCTCTCGTCAAAACCGTTTGCCGTTTTTAGAGCAAATTGTTGCCGGAGATGAAAAATGGGTGCTGTATGTTAATTTGAAAAGGCCGCCTCAATGGTTGGACAAAAATGAGGCTCCGCAGCCCACGCCAAAACCTGACTTGCATGCGAAAAAAGTGATGTTGTGTGTTTGGTGGAATTTTAAAGGAATTCTTCATTATGAACTTTTACCATCTAACCAAACCATTACAAGTGCAGTGTATAGTGCCCAATTGGAAAGGTTAGCCCAAGCTTTAAGAGAAAAAGAACCCGCGCTGATTAATCGGAAGGGCGTAATTCTTCACCATGATAACGCACGACCGCATACTGCAAGAATCACTGCTGAAAAACTGCGCCAGTTGGAATGGGAAGTTCTCCCTCAACCTGCATATTCTCCTGATATTGCCCCTTCTGATTACCAACTGTTTCGTTCTTTGCAAAACTTTCTTCTTGGAAAAAAATTTAATAATGAAGAATGCCTCAAAAATGCATTGACCGAATTTTTTGCATCAAAATCACAAGAATTTTACAACAGAGGGATTAAAATGCTTCCTGAGCGTTGGGCACAAGTAGTAGAAAACAACGGCAACTATATTGTTGATTAAATTTTGTTGTATTGTTTAAATAAATTCGATTTAAAAAAGGTATTAGAAAACGACATTAATTATTACTAGACCTAATAACTCTCTATCCCTCTCCCTTCCTCTCTGTAAAAAATCAATAAAATATATTTTTAAAAAAAGAACACATAGGTACCTAAAAAGTACTGCATTGTATTTAACGCCCTTATTGACACAGTCTACAGTGTCATCAACGTACTGTTACTTAATGGTGTATATATATATATATATATATATATATATATATATATAGTTATTTTTATCTCGGTTTTCGCAAATAACTGATTTAACTCTTGTGACGATTTCACATAAACAGCGAGTCCTGCACTAAAGCAATAACAGGTGATGGTTCAGCGGCTGGTACAGATGAGCCTCCTACTCCCCCGGAGCCCAATGGGGGGCTGCGGCCTGCGGGCTGCGGACAGGCCACCTCGCTCACCACCACCCCGCGACTGAGGTCGGCAGCGGGACACAGAAACCTCTGGCGGCCTCTTCCCGCTCCGCCCCTACCCGTCCCCTGGGGCGCCCACCCCGCCCCACCGTCCCCAGTCACCTGGGGCGCCCGCACCGCCGTCCGCTCGGGGAGCCGCTCCGGCCGCGCGCCGGGAAGTGGCCCAAACCCGGCCCCGGCCCCGAGGGCCCCGGGCGCGAAGGGGCCTTTCCGCGGCCTCCGCACGGTCTCCTTCATGGGGAGACCCTTCCTCCTCAGGGCCCGGGACTGCCTGCTCCCCCGGCGCCCCGGGTTCAGCCGAGGGCTCCTCGGCGCTGTCGCTGTCACTGGAGTCGGCTCGGCGCTGCCGGAAGGTCCTTTTCGGCCTGTGAGCCATGGCCGAGACCCGGGCGCCCGCGCACGCCCACTTCCGGCGCAGCCAACCCGGGTCACCGCCGGGCGACACGGCGCGCGCCCCCGCTTCCCGCCGGCCGCCGCCTGCGCGCGCACGCTCCGCGCACTGGCCACGCCCCCTTCGCCGTGCGCATGCGTGCCTTGCCTTCTGGGAGTTGGTTGCCCTGGGGACGCAGGATGCACAGGGCTCCCTCTGGGAGGCCATCCTGGCGCCAAGTTCCCAGTCACAGGCCGACCTGGCGCAACCCTGTCTGGGAATCGCTCGGCCCGCGTCCTGGCCTGGAACCCAATCTGCTGTTCCCTGTTTTCTGCAGAGAGTACAGTTCTCTCTCTAACCGGGAATGAAACAAAGTGAAGTGTGTGGTGTGTGTGGATTGCTTCTGAAAGCTAAACCGTAAAATCTACGTATGAACGATAGATGTACAAATAAGTAGAAAATCTTATGATTTGCTTCTAGCATCAATAGAACCTGGTTAAAGGCTTTGGTCCACAAGAAAAAAAAAATGGACCTGAAAAAATGGTGTAACTTAGAAAAATGCTGGGGTTGGAGGGGTGGGTGGAGAAAGAGTTCACCATGGGTCCATTTGGTAAAACCCATTCTTACTTCGGTGCCTCTGACCACATCCATGTGGGGCAAATAAACATTTAGTTTAATTCCTCCGATGTTTCCTTTTCTGTTTTAAAGTTCAAGACTTTCCAAGAGGTTCATAGAAAGGATTATTTTAAGGGATAAGTTTCCAGACACTTTCCTCAGAAAGGGAGAAATGTAAGAAAAATATGTGTGATGTCGGTGTACCAGAAGGCTGTCCTTTCCCGTCAAATGTCACCAATTTACAATCTAAGTCCAAGAGAAATGTGATTTCAGTGTTTTCAGTTAGGTTCAGAGCCATCAGCTGATGTGGGATAGTTGTTTACCTCCTCATTTTAAACTAAATTGCCTCCACAGACAGGACCCTTCTCTTACGCATCTTGATGTGCCAGTACTTAATATATAAATACTGAGTGAACATGAATTCAATAGACTAAACGTGTGGATGAGGGTATTCTGAAACCTGAGAACAAATTAATCCATGTAACTTGTTGGAGGTTGCAAATATGTTAATAAACTGGTGGTATACTACTGAGACAGAAAAGAACTCTGCTATGTAAAACATAAGTCAAATATTTTTTCTAAGGGAGTGAGGTGAGATAAGTGGTTTTCTCTGGGTATGGCCTGGATGAAAGAGGACGAAAGAAACAGAGTCGTTTAATAAAGGGAGAAACCATGGGCTTCCTCCCCTGATCCCAGGGAAAGAAGAGTAAATGCTCTAGAGTTGTTAACTTTGTGGGATGGGGGGTGGATGTCTAGTAAAATCTGAATTTCAAATAAATGAGGCATTTTTTTTTAATTTCCTATGTAACTATGTCCCATTTAATATTTGGGACATAGTTGCATAGGAAGTATTGGAACTCCAGTCTAAGATAAAGAGAAATGGGAAATTTTTCCAAGGGTAGAGTAAGATGTTACATCCTGGGGATGGTAGTAGATCTGGAACCTGAGGAATCAGATGGCCAGTGTGAAGTCCCCTGTTGCAGAGGGTAAAGAGGTAAGAGACTTTTAAGATGGAGTGCTGCCCCACTCCCCCATTTACCCCCCAAGCCTCTAGTGAAAGTCTCTTCCACAGTCTTGAATGAGAATGAAGAGTTTGGCCCCTTAGGACAGGGTGGTGGCAGCACCTTCTTGATGTCTCCTCGGTTTCTGAGCTGAGAGTGCCAGAGGAGATAGAAACAGGCTGCTGGGCACACCGGCTTAGGATCTGTGAGACAGACCTCTTCCCCAAATGTACCCAAGAAGGTGCAACTTTAAAGGGTAAAATGCTCCCCTGGGTTATACATGGAAACAGAAAAAGAGCAGCCAGAGAACAAGAATTTCCTCAAACAACCTTTCTGGGTACCCAAAACCGTCACTACCTGGGGTTTTGCTCTTTCTCATGAACACTAGGAATATGTTCTCTCATAAGAGAACAAGGATAATGTCACATCCCTTATTAGACCCACAGTATATTTACTTATAATGCGAACTTATTATATCAACTGACTGTTAGGAAACTTTGCATTAATCATTTTTTTGTTACAATTTAAAATTTTTGCCAAAACCAGTTTGGCTCAGTGGTAGAGCGTCGGCCTGCAGACAGAAAGGTCCCGGGTTTGATTCCGGTCAAGGGCATGTACCTTGGTTGCGGGCGCATCCCCGGTAAGAGGCAGCTGGTCGATGTTTCTCTCTCATTGACGTTTCTAGCTCTCTATCTCTCTCTCCTCCTCTCTGTAAAAAATAAATAAATAAACAAACAAACAAATAAATAAATAAAATTTCAGAGGTTAATAATTGGAGAAAATGGACATATGAAAAATTCCCAACTTCTGGAAAGAGATGCCATATTTACTCGAACAGACCATTTCCCCCTAAACTGAAATGGCATTTTCTTCAGCTTCTCCTGCCATTGATTAGTGTATTCTGAGCTCCCTCTAGTGAGAAATATACTACTTACAGGAGGATTGTGTCAAATAACCTTGAGGAAATGGCTTTCTTTCCTATTAAAGAGCTATTTTTTTTAAGTTCTTTCTTGTTATAAGTAATAGATATATTTTAATTTTTAAAGCAGTCTATGTCAAACTTTCTCAGAAAACAACATTTTGGGAAGTCATGTTTATACACTCTTTGGGAATTAAAAAATAGATATTGTAAAAATGTATCCATAAAAGTATGCAATGAATTGTGCTTTCATTTTTTTTCAGCATATATTTTTTTAGCACTTACTATGATAGGAGCCTTGTTCTGCAAGCAGAGAGCCACAACATACTGGATCCTGCTCCCAATGGGCTTGTGCTATTAACCGAATTAGCCCAGAAGTTTACTTTTGAAAAAATTTTTGATTGTGGTAAGAACACTTAACATGAGATCCACCCTCTTAACAAATTTCTAAGAATATAGTACAGCATTATTCATTATAAGCACAATGTTGTACAGCAGATCTCCAGAAAAAAATGTTTCTTTCATTTCTTTCATTGTCAGTTATACAACAGGTATAAATGAAGTTTTATACCTGTTGTATAACTGACATTTTATAATTTATCAACACCCACTCTTTATTGTTCTTTTTTTAAATTGTGTTCATCTCAACAGGTGTGAAGTGATATTTCATCATGGTTTTCATTTGCATTTTTCTGATGACTAGTGGTGTTGAGCATACCTGAATAACATACATCAATTCAAAGGAAGCAAATAACATACACCAATTCAAGCCACTTTAGAAGAGAGAGGTAGAGATAGAGATAGAGATGAGAGAGAGAGAGAGAGAGAGAGAGAGAGAGAGAAAGAGAGAGAGAGAGAGAGAGAGTTTGAGAGATTATAAAAATACATAGCATTTATCTACCCATTCTCACTTGATCTTTTATATCTATTTCATTCTTGCTTTATCTTTTACTCAAAGTCTTCACTATCTTTATGTACAACTCCAGGAAAAATGAAGAGAACACACAAAATTCTAAAGCTATAACTATCAAAGCTCTATAATCCCTAAAATTTCCAATGCTCAAATTATTACCACTAACCTGATGTAGTAAGATCAATCTCCTCTTAAAATTACAAATTGTCTCTTGAGAGTTAAAATCAGGTTGCCTCATGCATTTTGACATTATTTCCAATAGTAGATTCTAACCTATTACAAGCTGATAAGACAGAATGCTACAGGAGATACATGTGATGGCTCCAGGTTTTTTTTTTTTTTTTTTTTTTACCAGCAAGCTACATTTCTAAAACATCTACCTAAGTAGACTCTAGATATTCTAAAACATGGATATTGAGTTTTCCAAAGGAAGTATTAGAGAAAAAAACTGTGTTCAAGTCTCAATGGAATATACTTCACCAGGTGTTGTTAACCATCCACATCCTATTAAAACTCCAGGATGTTGATCTCAACTTAAAAGACATATACTTTCTTCTGACTTTAAATTTAGGATTCTTAGGAATTGTCCAGAAACTTCTGACTATAGAAATTTTCTACCCAAGATGATGGAACACATTGTTGACTATAGAAAAAGCAGTTTCTACCCAAGACAATGGAAGAATAATTTTCTTATTCTTCATTACCACCCATTTGCTTTTTTTTTTTTTTTTTACTAGTAATCTTATTTATTGTTCTATTTTGATAGCCTTTATTGAATTAAGAAAAAATACTTCTCGATATGGTATCCTTTATCTTCATTCTATTATGTGGACTCAGTATGGCCTTTGACCACTTTAGAAAAAACAAAACTTTATAAAGTGTTTTTCTCAAATAATAGTTGTCCTCTGACTAATTTAGTAACTGTTCCTTCAAGCAGTTCATTTATAGGATCTTCCATAACTTAAATTCACTCACATAATTTATACTAAGTTCTATTTAGTCCTATAAAAATTAAGCCATGACCTTATATTAGCAAAATACTTTTGCTAAAGTTATTACCAGCAAAAGCCAGGAATGAGAATATTAGGATCTTCCTGAAACCTTTTTAACTTCATTCAAGGCATTTTCCCAACTTGACTGACAAACATTTGGCCTGCTCCAGTTGAATTTGTTCTTAATATAGTGTACCTACTAGTATAGTACTAAGTATGTGAAATATACCTTTCTGCCACATGCTAATTTAACTTGTGTTTTCAGAGTAATTGTTAGAGATTTTCAGAAATTTGAAAGTACTAGGAATTATATTTTCCTGAAAAGAATGTTCAGAAATCTGTAAAAATAGGCAAATGCAGGCAACTTGAAAAATTTTCCTATAAGGAAAACTAACTTCCTGTTTATACATATGGGATACCTCTCACAAAAAAAAAAAAAAAAAAAAAAATAGCCCTACTGGAAAAGAGTAGCAAGAATCACACAACTTTGTCTCTGAAAGCCCAATAAACCCATTTAAATTTAAATTTATTTGCTAGAGTTATCATAGATAGTCCCATAGCCTTTG